TGTTCTTCTTTTGCAACGGCTCAAGCTTGACGCCGCTTGCTCGCGAAGAGGACTTCTTGCTTGCTGCAACCAGCTTCTCAGCCGCGCAATCCACTAGCTTGCATAGTTCCATCGTGTCCTCATCGATACGGTGCTCGGGACGAACGAGTTTTTTCTTGGACTTGCGCAGGCCGCGTAATCGACGCGACACCTTTTCCTGATACTTTTGTGCGTGGGTCTGCACCTGACGCACCGAGCGCGTGGCAATATGGTCGGCGATAGTCTTCCACGGGCCCTTAGGATAGAGTTTCATGGCCTCCAGGAAGCGATCATGCTCCTCTAGAGACCAGATACCCTTGGCCGTTGGCGAAATGGGCTTAGCCTTGGACTTGGAAGCCGGTAGTGGCGAGCTTGTTCCAGCGGCAACCATGGGCATATAAAATTGATTAACTGTCGCAGCGGTAGCTGGAGTGGTGGTGGTGAACGCTTGGCACTGCCCGACTCGCTCGATTGGATGCGAATTTGAGAATGACAGCGCGTCGATCAGTCTGAGCTACTAAACCACGGTGGAGGTCGGTACGTCCTATCAATGGCGGTAGAAGCTCTCTGGTCAGTAAACAGTCCCAGAACGTCCTGGTTCTGTGACCTACCGACATTCGCACTTATTTGAAAAAAATGCTCTGCAGTCGACCGCTTTCGCTGTCGTGGAGGACAGTTGCCGAGCCGTGCAGAAGTCCGGCGGGTATGTTCAGGTCAGCGGCTGGACCAAGCGAAGTGAAAGGCTCAAAAGTAGGACGGACAAGCCGACCTTGAACGATTGCCGGCAACGGCTTGGATTTTCAGTGCTGAAGTGCAAGCTGAACCACATCGAGCGCAACGTAGATGGCGTGTGATGATGCCGCAGCCTGCCCGCAGGCGGGTTGAAGATAGCGCCACGACAGACTCTGGGAATTTGGATGAAGTTCTTGCTTGCAAATGCGACGCATCTTACAGTATTATGATCCAACCAACGTACGTGGCGAGCTCTCGCAGAGTGTCGCGGGGGAGTATTGGGCTCATAATCGGCGATTATTAATCGCAGTCCTTCACGCCTTACCGCTGGCCGCCAGACTGGCATTCATGCATATGATGCGCCTTGGTCCCGTGGTCGAGGTGGCATCTGGCGTACTGTAGCCGAAGCCCGTGCCACAAAGCGATCAAAGCCTTGCTGTTTGCTGTCGAATTGGCTTGTGCACTGCCAGGCTCTGATTATTTTGGGGCCTGTCAAAAGTGCAGGTTTGGGCGAGTTCCGATGTTGGCTCGTCTTTGAATCTTACAAAAGGCAAGTCAAACGTAGCGCCGGTAAAACGCTGTTGTTTCTATGAGCAGGATGAAAGCTTCAACTCTTCGGCACCACCACGACGGCTTCATCGCCATGCTGCGGATGGAGCTCGCTATGGTATTTCACGTGTCAGCCGTGACTATGTGAAGAATAATGTACTCTGCTGACAGGCAAGCTGAGCCCATAACAAGGTGTACGTATTTTGGGTCTGCATTTCATGATGGTCCATCCATGCACTCCTGAAGTTTTTCATCACAAGTGAAACGCAAGTTGGTTGGCGAGGAATGCTCACGACACGACACAGGAGCCGAGTAAGTTCTTGTGAACGCTGGTTGCCCGAGTTGCTACTGCCCGGCGCCGAAGGTTATCGTGGACGAAACCTCGGGCTCATTCGCCGCGTAGGCCTGAAAAACACTCGTTCGCCCGCGATAGCGATACCCACACTCACGTGCAACCCACTTCAGAATTCAAGTTCGAACTTCAGCGTGTCGCACAGATCCGAAGATTGTTCTGCAAGTTGCAGACACATTGTACTTCGAAGTACAACATGTACAATTTCCCGCAACGCCTTCTTTTGCCTCCGCCGACGTGGTTAAGCAAGAACTCCAACACATCTTACACCGCGAACGCGACCCATCTAACTTGGATTTGGGCATCGAGCAGCAGCAACATCAGACCGTCAGGACCTAAATGATACCAGTCAGAAAAAGGTTTGAAAGTGCACCGTTTTAAAAGACGCATTAAAAACGCTCGTTATTGGCGTTATCCACCGCCTTCGTATGCAGTGCTCGAAGCGCCAATGCTATTGAAGAACTATAACACTACGAATGCTTCCAAAAA